CCTCAATTTTCAGAAAAAGAATATCATTTGCACAAAAATGTTTTTATATTTTTATTGACATCAGGATAGTTATTATTTAATATGAAAAGTAACATGTTGTATTGAATATGATGATGGAATTCAAAACATTTAGTTATGTGAATTTATTATGTATTCCACATGCATAATATTTATGACATATGTGGGGTTATGGGAAAAAAGGAAAATGCTATTTTTTATGATAAATTTTTTTTTTTCCTAAATAGAACATCATTTGCACAAAAAATGTTTTATACTTTTATTGACCTCAGGGAATGATGTCTATGACAATAAAATGTCTTTTTGATTTGGTTGTTGGGTTTTTGTAGTTTTAGATATCCGAAAATCCCATAAAAAATGAAATTTTCATGTGTTTGCACATTTGGATTATTTCCCTTTTCAGTTTAAAATTAAACATTTACTGGACATATAGAAATTTGAATTAATTTTGAAAAGTTACCCCCTGTGCTGTAGTTGAATTAAAAAAAAACATAACTGTGATATCTTTTTTTAGTTTTTTTTTTTAAATTTAAATTGACCATTGGCAATTTTGCATATTTTCAAGGGAAATTCAGCCGCATGGAAACCAGACGCAGATTTGAGAAAAAAAAACTATTTTAGGAAGTCACTAACCATACTCTACCTGCATGCAAAGTTTGAAAAAAATCGGAGACCCCTCATGTGCCGCCCCCTGCCGATTCTTACGTGGAATAGTACTAAATTGTCACTAATCGGTAAAGTCATGGTAGTTGCTTTAAATGTCACAAATTGGTCTCAAATCGGTGAAGTAACAAATCAGTAAAGTTACAAACGGTAAATTTACAATCGCGTTTTCTGTCACTAGTTCAGCGCCTGGTCCGCTCGGCCTTTGGTCTCTTCCTCTGACATTGTTTTTGGGCCACTTTGAATGTTTGTGGAATATCTATTTAAAAATATATCATAATTAAGATGATTCATTTTCATTAAAAATAAAATTGAAATACACGCAAGTAAAATATTCCTGAAGTTGAAAATAAAATTTAATAAATACTAGTAATGTTTTACCTGGAAGCTGCAGTTTGTACTCTTTATGTAGTTGGTCTTGTCGTTGGAGGTGTTTCCCCACTCTCCTGTTCTTCTCTGAACCACTCAGCTTCAGCCACACGTCAGGGGCAACCTTGTGCTGCTTCAGGGAGTCCTCTAAGACATCATTCCCGTTGCAATGGAGTGCACGGCGGAGATCATGGAACTGGATGGCACTGATCTCGTTGATCTTGCAGATGAGGTCTGTAATTTTGTGGGGCTTCAAATTTAACGAATGCTTAAGATGATTTTTCATGGACCCAGAGTTGTTGTTGGTCTATTGTTCTGTAATTACGCCAGTTCGGAGTGGGTTGTACACATGTTTTTGAATTAAAGGTTTGAGACGTTTTCCAAAATGATGTCGAAATTTATTGAAGATATTTACTTTGCAAATGACAGTCCGAGTCCGCTGTTTTTGAATGGAACGAAAAGGAATCGTCAGCATTTATAATGCCCTCCTGTCCAAATATGGTGGAAAAGATGTACTCCCTTTCCTTTGTGCTGCAACTGTCATTGTCCTTTAGGTATCGTCGAACGCTATCCTTTTAATGTTTGGTGCATAGCAATTGGACAGGATCTGAGAAAGCTTGACGAACAGCTTTCAACATGGCCTTCTCCAAATCACTGCCGATTTTCAGACCAGTCGGGAATCCAAGTTTGCAATTCAAGTGACAGAAAAATTTGTAAAATGAGTCTGTTTCATCATCCCAATGCAGCAATATGGGCCCAAGGAAAATTGGATTTTGTAACGTTTCCATTTTTATGGCGTCGGGCTTGCCCGATCGTCATCTAGCGATCAGTCAGGTTGTTGCGGATGTATTTCTACAGAGAGGGTGTGCCGAATGACATGAATCACATTTTGGGACCGATTACTGTAATACAAACAATCTTATAGCGGTAAAATAATTACAAAATAAACACGAATACTACAAGACTACCCGGTTTAAAAATTGAATTTCTTAATCTTAGGTTTACTTATACGATCTTCAATCCAATTTTAGCCGAACAACCTACGATATTGACCAGTAATGCCAGTATTATTGTATTTATTTATTTCCTTCAATTGTTTACCGCGCCTTATCGTAAGTCGATCGTACTTGAAACATTAAAGTCATGGTTGTAGTTAAGATACAATCACTATAAAACAGAACACACTCTGACAATGGAAATTAATTAAAATAATTTATGAAACCCTTCATATGTCTTCGATTGACTGAAAAAAAATTAGATTGATATAAAGGACATTTCTGACGTCTGGTCAATTCGAACCCTGGCTTATTCGGACCAGGCCACGAGGCTATCAGGCCCTTTACTGTATTTGTGTTAAGACTATTTTTTTTTTCATTTTATTATGTTACTGGAGTCACTCACTTGACCTATTTGCAGACCTTTTGAAATAGTTTTTCTTAAAATTGTTCGACGCCATCGAAGCCTTTCAGGTTTTTTATTATGAGTTTGCGGTTCTCATATGGTGTTGTCACAAAACATGGACCCATGCAGGTTGAAGGTACGGTCTATGCCCAGAACGCTATCGTTGGAGCCTTTACAGTTATAGTCTTTAAATCTTTCAGTTGTTCCTCTGAATATATGATGATGATCGGTGATTTGTTTGGTGTTAAATGTATTTCCTTGATGTTATTTTCCCCGTTTTGACACATGGAAATGGCAGCTATAATGAACACATATATAATACATATAACACATATAATCAAAACAGTACTTAATTTACAAGTAAAAGTTAATAAAACCGCAGTAAAACATTGAAAAATTCCATTTGGGTCCATTTGATTTCCATTTAGGTCCATTTGATTTCCATTTGGGTAAATCGACGTACCGCCATAATGCGACAATTTTCTCGTGTAAGTCTGTCACCTTAAAAATGCACGTGAATATTGCAAATAGGTAGATTATTAATAAGCTCTGTGATAAGTTCAATTACCTAGATATCTATATTTAGCTTTATACGTGGATTTAGTGATTTTCCTGGACCTGTTTTACAATTCCTTTTTTGTTTTATTTTTTTTTCCTTTATGCCTTTTATTAAACCACCTCCTTACACAAAGGAGGGAACTCCATTACTGAACTGGACAACAGTACTGTGAAAATAAAACTCCTTGAACAAATAATTTCAGTTATCTTGAAGTTCTTGATAATTTCTTTTGTCAATAACCTTACAGTGCTGCGAGAAGGTTAAACTACAACCACTATCCCTTAAACCCAAGTTAAAACGAATAAAGTGCCACGCCACAGCATGATACGCCCGTCAAAATATTACACAATTATCTTTAACAGTTTAGACTGCAAGAAAATCACTTCAACTTTGATTCTAAGATTTCCATGATTTTTCCATTTTTAAAAGAAATATTTCTTTATCCATCCCCTGTGCTGTAGACGTAATTAAAACAAATATTACATAACTGACAGATTTCTATACTGTTTGTGTTAGACTTTGTCAACTGCCGGCCATCATAATAAACAATATCAAATTAGTCTTAACAACTTAATCTATGTCAAATTAATTTTGAAAAGAAAGACTGGCCATCAAGTGACATTTGCTATGACCAGAAGACTTCTTTTGTCTAATCCCCAAGACAGATAAGGCAGTGCTTGATCAGACAGCTTTCCTACATTGAACTCATTAATTAATCTTTGACTGGATGCTTTTCTACTCATTACTACCTAAATATTAATGGATCTGCATTTTTTATCCTAAAACACTTTTAAAACATATAAAATACTCTTTTTAGATTTAATGCCAGACAGGTTTTATATTTAATTCATATGACCAAGTAGGCATGCTGATTCAACCCCATCCCATAAAATTAGTTTTTAAATAATTAATATTATATAATATCAGATTATTAGTTTATTATGCAATAATGAATATCAAACAAGTTTTAATTACTTTTTATCAAATTCATTTTAAAACTTAGCTAGCCACCAATTATGCCGATGGGACAAACTGAATTCCTCTCATCAAACACTGATATTTGTTTAAGATTGCTGTAAAGTATATGATGAAAAAATAAGTTTTTACTTGATTTAATACTTTTTATTAAGGATACAACTCTAGTTTTTACATTTTTAGGATTATGAAATTTAAAATTTACAAAACTTAAATTTTTAAAAAATTTCACTAAAATTAAAGGTCACAGTGACCTTAAAATAGGTCGCGATACACCTTCTACCTAAAATGTATACTTTTGCCAAGTTTGATAACTCTAGGTCTATTAGTTTTCTAGTTATGAGCCGGACAGGATTTTTCCATTTTTGGCCATAGCATCTTTATTAAAGATCAGAACGAACTACTTTTGGTGCGCGACACACCGTCTACCCAAGAAGTATCAGTTGACAAAGTTTGATAATCCTAGGCCTAATAGTATTGAAGTTATGAGCCGGACACGAATGGACAGACGGACGGACATGAAGCCTATAATATAATACGTCCCGTCTTAAGACGGGCGTATAAAAATCATTGTAAGACTTCTCTATATATATTAAATAGCAAAATGACAGGTCGTCCGTTCCGGAAATTTTATACGTATTTGGTTTGGTTTTATGTACAACTTACTATTTCCGCTCCACGAGCTTTTCATGTCTACAACATGTACAACTTGTAACGTTGGTGTTTTTACAGCCCCACAGTGTATGTATATTTGTAATTTCATTTTCATCTTTATATTAAGTGATAAATAGTGCATTTCTTTCTATATCTACGATAAATTGAATTTTATGCATTTGAATGTTTTGTTTTCGCGTAATTTATAACTTTGTTTTCGTACTCCCTGGCCTATTTGCATGTGCTACATTGTATTGTTTCTTTTTGTCATTGTAGCATTTACGGTTTATTCCTAGAGAATAAATTATGTAGACTAGCTGTGTTCACGACTTTTGGACAGCATAGTAAATGACTAGCCATGATGTCAACACCAAACGGAGAAGAGATACCCTCCGGGGACCAGTTACCCTCCGGGGAACAACAGAGTGAACAGACCCAAGAACCGACGAGAACGTCAGATAGGGTAAAGGTTCAAACACAAAAGGGACAACAACATCTTCAAGAAAATATTAAAAAATATAGAGAAAAACTTCTTCACATAGAAAATAGAATAAGATCAAGTATTCAAGAATGTACAAGTCCTTCATGTTCAAAAGAACTTTCAGTGCTAATCTCAATCCGCGATAAGGTTGAGAAAAACTTTGAAATTTATACACATGTATATAAGGAAAGTCAGGATTACATGAACAGACACAATTACAGTGATAGTGAGAGAATTCTGATAGATAACAGTTATAGACTAGTTAGTCAAGATACAGAATCATGTTTGACAAAACTCAGTGAGACCATAAGATCATTGGAAGAGGAGGTAAATACTGTAAGTGGTCGGATGTCATCAGCTAGCATCAGATCGTTACAGAGAGTGGAGGAAGCCAAAACCAAACTAAAGAATGCAGAGAAGGTTGCAGAGCTAAAACGTCAGAAATCAGAGCTACAATTTGAAGAACAATTACATGCTGCAAAACTGAAACGAGAGCAGGAATCCTTAGACACACAACTAGAATTACTTAAACATCAAGAGGAGGTTGAGATCGCAGAAACAAGAGTGAAATTCGAAATGGGTGAAGAAGAAAGGAGTTGTGTTGATCTAGGATTACCGAAAGTAGGAGGGTTTGAGAAATCTAAAACTTTTATAAAGAACTTACCTCTTAATCCTCAAGCAGAAAAGTTTGTTCCACAGTTGGATAAAACTCTGCCTTCCATGTCAACAACATGTGTTCCAGAAACTTTACAACAACCGTATAATCCACAACTAGTGCGACCAGCTATTAATCCACCACGACCCATACTGGCAGCTTATCCTCGACATCCTATGCAGTTGACATACCCACCGCAACCTATGCCATCTATGTACGCACCTCAGACTCCTCGGCCTATGCATCCTATGTACTCGGCATACACTCCGCGACCAATGCAGCCAATGTACACACAGCCAACGCCCTCTAGTGCACAACCTGTGGTATCGCAACCGATGTACACACAGCCAACGCCCACTAGTGCACAACCTGTGATATCGCAGCCTAGTTTGGAATCTGGGAATATACATTCACACAGTAACATTCAACCTCAACAGTTTTCATCTGTGCCGTCAACTGTCATTCCTACAACTACTAGTGCTACCGGTAATTTCATGAACAGTTATATGATGAAGAAAGACTTGATCTCACAAAGACTTAGAAAGTATGATGATGATCCTTCATCTTATAATCTATGGAAAGGCAGCTTCAAGAGTATAGTGTCAGAAGCCACGCTAAGTCCCCTTGAAGAGATAGACTTACTCTTAAGATGGTTAGGACCTGACTCAACAGTCCAAGCTACGAGAATTAGAAGAGCGAATCCTTGTGATACTGGTGCTGCACTTAACAGGATCTGGCAAAGGTTAGATGAACGATATGGATCACCTGAACTGATCGACTCAAAGCTACAAAGTGAACTAAAAAAATTTCCAGTCTTACAGATACCAAAGGACAAAACGTTGTTATACAACCTAGTCGACCTCTTGGGGGAAATAGAGTGTAACAAGAACAATCCTCAGTATTCACTACTGTTGTCTTATTACGATACACCAGTCGGCATCAATCCTATTGTGTCTAAGCTACCAGAAAACCTACAGAACAAATGGCGTGACAGAGCTGTGAAATTTAAAATAAAACATAACATTCCATTTCCACCGTTCAAGGAATTAGTAAAATTTATTCATGAACTCAGTGTTTCCTTGAATGATCCGGGCTTTGTGTTTGATACTTCATCTCCATTCGCAGGAAAGGATAAACCAAAACTCACCAAGAAACCCACCTCTGTCGTATCAAAGAAAACGGATGTTCACACAGGAAGTGATGAAAATCCTAAGAAAGGATCATGTCCTTTGCACCCCAATGCTATCTCGCATTTCCTTGATGAATGTCAACTCTTCATGAAGAAGCCAATGGAGGAACGCCGTAGATATGTGTTAGAAAACAAACTTTGTTTCAAGTGCTTAAGAACTAACTGTCACACAAAGAGACAATGTACAGAAAGAATCAAATGTAAAGAATGTGGAAGTAACAATCATGTTACTGCTATGCATGTTTCTTACAAGAGGAAACTTCAGGACAGCTGCTCCCAAACAGCCCACGGCGGGGAGACTGGTTTGATTAAAGTGGATTCAAAATGTACAACAGTATGTAATGAATTCAATGGACGCTCCTGTGCAAAAACTGTCTTAGTACGAGTGTACTCAGAAGAACATCCGGAAACATCTGCGACAGTGTACGCAATGATCGATGAACATTGCAATCGCACACTGGCATCAAGTGAACTAATGGATACCTTGGGTGTACAAGGAAATGAACTTATGTATAATTTGTCTTCATGTTCTGGAAAGGAACACGCCCTTGGTCGCCAAGCCTATGGTTTCATAGTGGAGTCTCTAGACTCATCAACATCACTGAGATTACCTACCCTCATTGAGTGCAGAAGTATTCCACAAGATGTGTCTGAGATACCTACCCCTGAGATTGCGGAACAGTATCCACATCTTCGTGGCATCTCGTCAGAAATTCCTAAATATGATCCTAAACATCACATTGGACTTTTGATAGGACGCGATTTGACAGAAGCGCACCATGTTTTTCAACAAATTATTGGACCCAAAGACAATCCGTTTGCACAGAAAACATGCTTTGGATGGGTCATAATTGGAAATGTGTGCTTGGACGGAAAACACTTACCTATGCTGGACAATCCGTCAGATATAACCATAACAAGTTTTAAAACTTCTGTATTACCTAGCGGACGATCTACGATCTTCCAACCATGTGACAAGGAGTTGAAAATATTGGAGAGAGATTCAGGTCAAGACATAGATATTTTCAAGAGAAGACATGACGATAATATCATTGGTCACTCTGTGGAGGATCGCGAATTCCTTAATCTTATGGAAAAGGAAATGAAAATTAGTGCCTGTGGAAATTGGACGGCGCCCCTTCCATTTCGTAAGGACAGACCCCCCTTACCAAACAACAAACCAATGGCATTAAAGAGAGCAATGATTCTTGATTCAAGCTTGAAGAAGAACGACAGAAAATGTCAACACTTTGTTACATTCATGGACAAAGTAATACATAGCGGTGCAGCAGAGATAGCCCCAGAGTTAAAGGATGGGCAAGAGGTGTGGTATCTTCCATTGTTCGGAGTATACCACCCTAAGAAAAAGGATCAGATACGTGGAGTCTTCGACTCTTCTGCAACATTCCAAGGAGTGTCTCTTAACAGTGTTCTCCTCACAGGACCTAATTTGACAAACAATTTAGTGGGTGTTCTCCTTCGATGTAGGAAAGACGCTGTGGCAGTATCAGCAGATATTGAACAGATGTTCTACTCATTTCTCGTCAACGTCAACCACAGGGACTACTTGCGATTTCTATGGTATAGAGATAATGATCCTAACAAGGAACTTATAGAATATTGCATGTGTGCCCACGTGTTTGGGAACTCTCCGTCGCCATCTGTAGCAACATTTGGCTTACACAAGAGCACCAGAAATTCTGATGAAGACATCACAGAATTTGTGAAAAATGACTTTTATGTAGACGATGCTTTAACGTCTTTACCAACTGCTTCACAAGCAGTCGATTTGTTGAAAAGAACTCAGACTGTACTTAAGAACAACGGCAATATTAAGTTACACAAAATTGCATCAAACCACAAAGATGTGATGTCAGCTTTCTCCAAGGAAGACCTAAGCAAAGAAATAAAACTGTTAGACTTAGAGAAGGATTCGCTACCTATACATCAGAGCTTAGGTTTGTCATGGGATTTATCTACTGACAGTTTTGTGTTTCATGTGGATTTTGCCAAGAAACCTAACACGAGACGTGGTTACTTATCCATGCTTCACAGCATATACGACCCTTTGGGTTTCACTGGACCTCTTGTGATCCAAGGGAAGATAATTCTTCGCGAAATTACAGCACTGTATGACTGGGATGATGAGATCGACCCCTCATATGTTTATCGTTGGGAATCATGGAAGGATTCTTTTACATTGCTACAGCAAGTGACTGTCCCTCGCATGTATTTTACCAAATCTTTGAGCCAGAGTGAGACAGTTGAGCTACATGTGTTTTGCGATGCGTCGGAACAGGCTGTCTCAGCAGTTTCCTACATGAGACTTTCTACTGAGATGGGAATAGAAGTAACTTTTGTCTTCGGCAAAGTGAAATTAGCGCCACTTCATGGACATACCATGCCAGGACTTGAACTCTGTGCGGCCTTATTAGCAGTAGATGTAGCAGAAATTCTCAACATGCATCTGAATGTTAAATTTACAACCACAAAGTTTTTTTTACGAAAGTATGTTTGTACTTGGCTACATTAACCAAACTAGACGTTTCTACAATTACGTAGCCAATCGTGTTGAGCGCATTTTACGAGCATCCAATCCCTCTCAGTGGAATTATGTGAAATCAACAGAGAACCCAGCAGATCTAGGAACGCGAGGATTGAACTCGGCTCAAAATTTGTACCAGGAGTGGTTGAGAGGACCAGAATTCCTTCATCTCAACACGGTGACCATCAATGAATCTTTTCCCCTCATTAACCCAGAACAGGACGTCGAAATTCGTGTCAGTGCTAAAAGGACAGTGATTAATGACTTTAATCTTACCGGGATTTTTGAAAACTTTTCCAGCTGGGATTCTTTAGTGAGTGCACTTACGGTGCTAAAGACTTTCATCAGAAAGAAAAAGCAAATTGTGTCAGACCCTGTGACAGTCAGAAGAGACAGTGAATCAGTCATCATCAAAGAAACTCAGAAAACCTTTTTCTTGGATGACATTTATTGTTTACAGCATAAGAAACCTCTACAACGAGACAGTTCTGTGCTTAAATTGTGTCCTTACCTGAGTGAAGATGGCATTATGAAGGTTGGCGGAAGATTGAATCTTAGCGTACTTTCTGAGGAACTGAAGAATCCAATCATTATTCCTAAGAAATCTCATGTAGCAAAATTAATTGTACAGCATTTTCATGAGAAATCAGCTCATCAGGGCAGACACATCACAGAGGGTGCAATTAGAAACAAAGGTTACTGGATTATTGGTGCAAAGAAAGTAATTTCATCAGTGATTCATAAGTGTGTTATATGCAGAAGATTACGAGGGAAGTTTGAAAGTCAGAGGATGGCCGATTTACCACCGGACAGGATTACTCCAGGACCTCCATTCAGTGCAGTGGGAGTAGATACATTCGGACCCTGGACCATCGTCACACGTAAAACACGTGGTGGACAAGCTGAAAGTAAACGTTGGGCCATCATGTTTACATGTTTGACAACGAGAGCAATCCATATTGAGTTAGTAGAGTCAATGTCCAGCTCGTCTTTCATCAATGCATTACGTAGATTTATTGCACTTCGTGGGAATGTGTCTTTATTTCGATCAGACAGAGGTACTAACTTTATTGGTGCTACAGAAGATCTTGGGATTGACGTGACAAAGGGACCAGTGAAGAACTTTCTTGATAAGTCAAAGATTGTGTGGACATTCAATGCTCCCCACTCTTCCCACATGGGAGGAGTGTGGGAGAGAATGATTGGATTAACGCGACGAGTATTGGATACACTACTCTTAGGACCCAAAGGAAAACATCTCACGCACGAGGTACTTAGTACTTTGATGGCCGAAGTGACAGCCATAATTAATTCAAGACCGATTACTACTATATCTAACGATCCTGAGCTACCATTTGTGTTGAGTCCAGCCATGCTTCTGAATCAGAAGATATCCGGTCACTTTTCTATGTGTATGGATGTTGACATACGTGACATATACAAAGAACAGTGGAAGCAAGTGCAAGTCCTATCCGATTTATTCTGGCAACAGTGGAAAACCCATTACCTTCAGAACTTACAATCCCGTCGTAAGTGGACATCTGAAAAAACGAACATGAAGGTTGGAGACGTAGTGGTTGTCAAGGATCGTGAGTCAGCTAGGTGTCAGTGATCTACTGGACTTGTGGAAGAAGTATTCCCCAGTGCGGATGGACTCGTACGGAAGGCATCTGTTCGTGTTATCATTAATGGGAAGCCATGTACATATACGCGACCGATCAGTGAACTTGTTCGACTAATCGATTAACAATGTACATGTACGTCAGTTTATCAAGCAGTTTGAAGTGATAATTAACTGTTAAAATTTGTTGTTTCCATCATGATATATTATATTTAGGATCCTGGTCGTTGCACCATATTTTCTTATATTATTATACCGTAATGTTTGATCAGAATATTTTTGTTGAATTTGATATGTTTTTTATAGTAATATTGTTATGATAATATCAATATTAGGCAGGGAGTGTTCCGTTCCGGAAATTTTATACGTATTTGGTTTGGTTTTATGTACAACTTACTATTTCCGCTCCACGAGCTTTTCATGTCTACAACATGTACAACTTGTAACGTTGGTGTTTTTACAGCCCCACAGTGTATGTATATTTGTAATTTCATTTTCATCTTTATATTAAGTGATAAATAGTGCATTTCTTTCTATATCTACGATAAATTGAATTTTATGCATTTGAATGTTTTGTTTTCGCGTAATTTATAACTTTGTTTTCGTACTCCCTGGCCTATTTGCATGTGCTACATTGTATTGTTTCTTTTTGTCATTGTAGCATTTACGGTTTATTCCTAGAGAATAAATTATGTAGACTAGCTGTGTTCACGACTTTTGGACAG